TTTACATGGTATTTTACGAGCGAGCGAAGCGAGCGATCTACTCAGAGTCACCGGTGTGTGGCGCGTTCAGAGGTGCCAGTGAAAGGCCGTCAGATGCGCTGGTGTTGGGTCCTCACAGGCGCCGTTGCGGGGTCTTAGGGCTTAGAGACACTGGTGGGGCCATCATTGGCATGTGTGTGGCCCTGCAAAATGGCCTGCAAGTGGAAAGTGGCCCGTCATAGGCTGGCAAGGACACTCGGAGGCTGGTAAGAGGCCCTCAGAGTCACTGGTACGTGGCCCTCAGAGGCGTCGGTGTGGGGACTTTCAGAGCCGCCGATGTAGGCCCATAAGATGCGCTGGTGGGGGTCCCTTGGAGGTGGGGCGAGGGGCCTCGCAGTTGCCGTTGTGGGTGCCTTTAGAAACACTGGTGTGGACCGTGTGTCTATCACAGACGGATGTGGAGCCATAGCAGCCAATCACTCGTTGGCCGTTACTACTTAGGGCCCTGAGCGGCCGGCAAGGTCTCTCAGAAACCGGCATTGGGCCTTTATGAAGAAAATTGTGGCTACATAGGAGCCAATAACGTCCCCCCACAAGCCCTGTGGTGTCCTTCCGAGTTGAAGTGCGGCCAGCGCGAACCCTCTGCTACCAACTGGCGCCGCAGGGCCCCTCGGTTTCGAAGGAACCCTAAACCCGAGAACGGGCACGTACCCCCTCGCTCCCTTGCTATGTCACTGAATCCAAGTGATGGGACCCTTTAGGTAATCAGGGGCGTTTCAGATGACCAGGGGTTTTCAATTGATCAGGGGCCCACCAGGTGATCATGGGCCCCTCTGGTAACCAGGCGCCCCTTAAGTAACCAGGGACCCCATCAATAACCAGGGCCCCTCAGTAAACGGGGGCCACTCAGGTAAGTGTAGGAGTCCCGCAGATAACCAGGGCCGGCAAGGTTTCTCAGGTCCGTTTTTTTGACAAGGCTCTTATTGACTCAGGTGCGAGCCCTTTGCCATCAGCAGAGGGCCCTTTCAAGCCTTTTGAGGGCCGTTTAACGTCTCTTGAGTTCCAATTGAGGCCTTCTAAGGGCCCTTTGAGCAGTCGAGGGGCCTTTGAGGCCTTTTGAGGGTCTCTTGTCGTCAGCTGAGGACCGTTGGACGCCAGCTGAGGACCGTTGGACGCCAGCTGAGGATCGTTTTTGGGCCTTCTGATGGCCATTAGACGCCAATGGATGACCCTCTGACACCAACTGGGGCCCTCTGACACCAGCTAAGGGCACTTTAACCCTAGAACGCCTAGGGGGGGGGGGTGTATCAACCCCCCCTGAGGTTTTTTCGAAGTGCACGCTAAACGGCTTGTCGTAGCGGGCTGAAATTTTCAATACCCTCTGGGGCAACCTTTGCGCATCTTTTGCCGAAAAAAAAAATCGATCGGGTCATGTCAGCTCACGGAGTTATGACGTCATAAGAGGTACAGCCTCCGGCCGGATTTTCACAAACTGAGTGCCAACGCCCGAGGTTTCCTGCCGGTGGTACGGACATCGGTTGATGGATCGTGATGAAACTTCCCATGCATGTTGGGGCAAGTATTGGCTATCATATGGTATAAGAAATTTGACCGGGTCAGGTCAGGTCACGGAGCTATGACGTCACAAGAGGAACAGCGTCCGGTACTTTTTTTGAAAAGCGCCCGAACCACTATTTTGCTAATTCTTGTCACCTCAATGGGAATATGCAGCAATATTAGCTTCTATAGGGAGCAAATGGACCTCCCAAATCCAAAAATACAATCAGATTTCAAAAATTTAAATTTTGATTTTTCGAATTTCTGCCGCCGACTGTGACCTTGCCGACTTCCGGCGCTCCCAACGCGCCATTTTTAGAGCTAGGGAAACGAAATACATACCAAACGATAGAGAATTGATCATGGAACACGATAGTGAAGGTTTTAAGTCGATATCTCCCACCGTTTTGCCGCAATCACCGCCGAAAGTTGAAAAAAGTCTATTTTTTCGAAAATTTGACCTTTGACCGGTCAAAAGTAGGTCAAATGTTGACCTAGGACCAAAAAATATACCACCAATCGCGAGATCTCGTTGAGAGCAATCCGTTGGTTTTTTCCGCTAAGCTCTACGACCTTCCGTTTCGAAACGCCAGGGGGGGGGTCGTAACAACCCCCCCCCCTGGTCGTTCGTGTTATGAGAAATGGCCTGGTCGTGCGAGGGTTAAGTTTGACGCTAGCTCAGGGCCCTCTGAAATTAGCTGGGGGACCCTCTGACGCTAGCTCAAGGCCCTTTGACGCTCTTTAAGGCCTTCTGAGGGCCTCTTGAGGTCTTCTAACTTCTAAGGGCCCCTTGAGGCTTTTTGAGGGCCGCTTGACGCCAACTGAGGACCGTTTGAGGCCTTCTGATGGCCATTTGGCGCCAGCTGGGGGCCATCTGGCACCAGCTGGGGGCCCTCTGTCACCAGCTAAGGACCCTTTAGAGCCTTCGGAGAGCTATTTGACGCAAGGGCATGGCCCTCTGACGCCAGCTCAGGGGCCTTTGACACCCTTTAAGGCCTTCTGACGTCCGTTTGACGTTAGCTGAGGGCCCTTTGAGGCTATCTGAGGGCCCTTTAAGGCCATCTGAGAGTCCTTTGAGGTCATCTGAGGGCTCCTTAAGGCCATCTGAGGGCCCTTTGACACCATCTAAGGGCCCTTTGACACCAGATGAGGGCCCTATGACGCTAACTGAGGGCCCTTCGAGGCCATCTGAGGGCCTTTTGAGACCATCTGAGGGCCCTTTAAGGCCATTTGAGGGCCCGTTGTACACGGTCTTCGGTGGTCTAAGGATTAGTTAGAGGCCCATTTGAGGCGGCCTTCGGCCGCCTCAAATGGGCCCCTTCCTTGGAGTTGGGCCCCCCAACTCGAATGGGGGGGGGGGCACGGGCCCGTGTGCCCCCCCCCTTGTGTGCGCCCTTGCTTAGCATGGCAAGACGAGAACGCGTGATCAAGATGTGGACAGCGATGGTTTATAAGATGAAGATGTTGACGGTGTGGTAGGGTGAGATGCATACCTATGACGAATCGCATTCGTCGCAAGAGACATCCTGATCAGAATGTAAACTATACCTAGAGCTTTCTACAATGCCCGACTGGTGCTGGTGTGTCCCGATGGAAGGCACCATTTTGTTTGTTTGTCCGTCTGTCCGTTTGTCCATCTGTCCTTCAATCGGGCCTAGGCCGTTAGCCGGTACGTCCGGGCGCCTAATGACTGTGTTTGCTGCTCTCTGCCGAGAAGCAGGCGGCGGCACCGGGCAGTCACCGGCCGCATGATCTAGCGACCTACCTAGCTGTTTTAACCCTCGCCGGCATAGGCCATTTTGCGTCCTTCGACGGCACAAATGGGGGGGGGGGGGGGTACGACCCCCTCGCGTTTGGTCCCTGATCGAGCTAGAGCTCCGCGAAAAAAAAATGCAAGCATGTTGCCCATGACGAGAGGAAGCCGATGATACCCAATTTTAACCCTCGCCCGCAATGCCATTTTCCCATCCTAGAACGCACATGGGGGGGGGGGGGGGTTGCCACCCCCCCCCGCGCCATTTCGTTCCTGTTGGAGATAGAGCTTAGCGGTAAGGACCAAAAAGATTCTTTGAGAAGAGACAAATCCAACGATACCCAGTTTTACCTTCTCAGGTCAGTCATTGACCTTCCAGGTCAGGTCAAACTAAAAAATGTGGCTGTTTTGGGTCACCGTTGGATATCAAGTGCGCTGCTTATCATATACCGATGACGATGCCGTTTTCTGGTGCCAAGCCAGCTAGAACCTCTTTGTCACACTACCCGACCAGGTTTTTGCTGCTGAGGTCATTTCAGGTCAAGTTAGGTCGAGGTCAATGATATGTGTTTGTATGTCTGTGTGTGTCTGTGTGTATACTGATGTGTGCACCGATTGTTTATGTGTCCATATTACAACCGCATCTGACAGCTTTGCAACATGTTACGAAGGAGCCAAAACTATTTCGTAAATGTTCAAATGGTAGCTAAATGCGATTTCAGCTCCAAAAACTAGCCTAGAAACATATAAAACTCGAAAAAGTGGACCGATATAATCAAAGGTCAATGACCTTGCATGACATTCAGGTGACCTTGACATCCACCCTAATGCATGGGAGCAACATCAAATCACATGTTTGAACGCTTGAAACCACAAAAAGACTACAAACGCGCGGCTAATGAGAGCCGACATACGCAGAATCGCGATTCCGGCCAAACATGGTCTCGGAAAGTAGGCCACAGGTCAAAGGTCATTTGGGTCAGGGTCATGAAATGTCAGGGTAGGCGTAATATTGCTCATCGGGAGGGTACGAAAAGTTTCGTCGCGATCGATCGCTTTTTACGGGCGAGTTATTCGCGAAAAAGCTTAGGAGGGTGTGCATCAACCTCCTCACTAGAGATGTCAATCGGATACCAACTTTTTGGTATACCGATACCAAACCGATACCAACTTGGTATTTGGTATTTCAATCGTAATGTGTTTGGTATTTTGTTGGTATCATGAACCCTCACCAATGTATAAGAGGCTAAGAAATCGGTAAAAAGTTGGTATTTTCCTCATTTTTCCCAAGTTGGTTTGGTTTCGGTATTTCCCCACGGTTTTGGTTGGTATTTGGTTTGGTATCGGTATTCCGATTTTCCGTTATTGACACCACTACTCCTCACCCTGCCCAATGAACCCTGTGCCGGCGGGGGCTAAGGAAATGACATTCCTAGGAAAAAATGAAAAATGGTTAGTTTTTTTTTCTCATGAATAGCCTAAATCCAAATATAGCAAACCCAAAAAATGACATATTTTTCTTACAGTGGGAGTTAATTCATTTTTAGACTTTTTTTAAAACAAATTTGTCAACATACGAACCATTGTGGACAATTCAAGCAAACGTGGTTGTTATCAGTTATGAGGTCATAGAGTTCAAAGGGTGTCACACGCTGTCCCCGTGTCCGGTCGGCCTGGCTGCCCGACTGGGCGACTCACTGACCTGACCTCTGTGGTCGGCGGGCTGACCAGCGCGGCGCGGCGGTCCGAGCGGCGACGGCGGCCGGCCGGGAGCCAGTCGGGTCCAGGCGTCGGGGCTGGACGCACTGACCGGCCGTGCCGAGTGACGCCCGTGACGCCCGTGACGCCGTGTGACGGCTGTTGGACCAGTGACGTTTCGCTCAGGGACCGGCTAGTCGTCTGGTCTGGCGTAGCTGCTGGTTGGGAAGGGCTCCCACTCGGACGGACATGTAGCCTGCTCGTGAGCCGATGATCAACGTCAACGGTCAGCGGTTCTACGGCAACCGCTCCAGCCAGGTATGTAGTTCATCATTTTATACGACATGTGCTTGAATTGTGGTATGATATTTGCATTGTACCTATTGTGATTTGTAAATGTACAATGCAGCGAACAAATGTGAATGGCATGGCAGTCAGCTCAGAGATCAGTTTAGTTTCGTACTGGAGCACTGTCAAATGCCTGACTTAGAACTAATCGCTAATGTGTTGAATGTTTTGAAAAGATAGGCAAAGCAGATCTCATGAGCAGTGAACACTGCGAAAAACACATCAATTATAAACCTGTCGGGCACTACTGCTATTCTGTTTGGAAGGTTGCCTCGTTTAAGCCAGTCATTACCTATCACATTTTATACGTGCGCACGTGCAGACCGCAAGACTTACCACTCCAAGCGCCCAGGCATTTATTATCTTATCCTCGAAATTGTTTAAGCTCAACGGTTCCTTTAGGGCTCAACGTCTGGCCAATTTTGAGCGCAGTCGGCCCAACCATTCTCGTGCTATACCTAATAGTAAGTACAACTGCATGCACGCATGTACAATGTACATAGGTACGTGCACGTACCTATGCTGTTTATTGCTGTTTATCACACTTTTGTAGGGCTCTGCCTTTTCAGTAATCTACTGTACTGTAAATTGATTTGTACCTATGTATTTGAGATTTCATCGTTAATAAGTTCGCAATGATTGATGTTTACTTGTACCGACCATAACCGTTCACTAACATACAGCCAGCATCACACAACGCTGAATACCTCAGGTGCATCAAGTTAACTTCGCCAGACAAGGGAAGAAACAAACAACATTAAAAATTGCTTGACAATGGCTAGCGGGATCTGGCCCTTCACCAATTCCTCTCCTGGCTCTTATCGCCGCTTTCTACTGCAGTGGCCAGTCCACGCGCTAAAAACGCGCCATGCCACGGCCCACCGACAACAATGGCGAGCCCGTTGTTTGCTGGTTCGTCACAGATGCGCCACAGTCGAAGGCGATAAATTCATGAATCCACCACCTAGGGGTCTGCCTGCAACCACATGTGGTGGCTTCGGTAATCGTTCTCTCCGTTTTTTTTTTTGGGGGGGGGGGCAACCTTAGACATGCGTCTTTTCTGTATCTTTCCGTGGAAGCATTTTATAAGCAATGACAAGTTCATTGATAAATAATCATGCCAATGCAAATGCACAGAACTGTGCCGTAAGGAGTGGACCGACCAGACATCCTCGGCCGGCCGTCCATTCAGTGTCGCGATGCCTCTGGTAACTGACACTCCCTCGCTGCGTAGTCTGATCAACATTAGCGTAGGTAATACGCCGTGGGAGCGGACATACAGGATGTCCGCCTCTGTCCCTAGGGAAGGAGTGAGGCCCGGCCGGGGCAATGCTGAACTTCAGGAACCTGAGTCCCGGAGCAGTGCTGGATCCAGGGGCCCGTGGTTCGAGTAGAAATCACTTCTAGAGCCAAAGGCAGAAAAGGGCCAGTGCCTGTAGCGATGAATCGTTCCATCACTGTACGTGCAGGGTCGGGCCAGCCAGCTGTCACCATATTGAGAGTTCGGGTCAGCCAGCAGCCATGCTCTGATACTGGGTTAGCCGGCTACTGTCTCTAAGGTCGGGTCAGCCAGCCCCTATCTCTGAGATCAAGTCAGCCAGCCGCTGTCCCTGAGGTCAGCAGTCAGCCGGCCGCTGGACTAAAGGTCGGGTCAGTCAGCCGCCATGTTCTGAGGTCGGGTCAGTCAGCCCCGTCCCTGAGGTCGGGTCAGCCAGCCGCTGGACTAAGGTCGGGTCAGCCAGCCCCTATTTCTTAGATCAAGTCAGCCAGCCGCTGTCCCTGAGGCCATACGGACCAGCTACTAGCTGTGGACCGAGTTTGAGCCACCTGCTGCAGCCGGCGGTAAAAAGCGCTGTGGGCGGCGGGTCGCTCTAATAGCCAGTGGTCGCCGCCCGGTGGGTTCATTAGGCACTCCCACCGGGCCCGCTGCGCCGCGCCACTGGTGTCCTCCTGTCTGAATCGACCACCGCTGGACGTGACGGCTGGACGCGACGACGTGACGGCTGGACGCGACGACGTGACAGCCAACACCTGGTCAGGGTCAGTCTGACTCAGCTTGTGGTCAACAGGGCTATGATTTGCCATTCCCTTTTAGCTCGTAGGTAACCTCAGAGAAATGCCTAAACATTCTAGCCATGTAGCGATAATACACACGCTTATGTAAATTAAGGGGATATTCGCGTCATCTGTGAGTAAACGTGGTGTGTGCTAATAGCACATTCTTAGCAGAGGCGTGTCGTTTTTATCTGACCTTCGCAGAACAAGGTCATACGAAGCCTGATCCAGCAGAATATCTAATCAAGAGTTTCTAATCATTCAATCCAACATTCTAACCTAAAATATTCAGAAAATGGGATATAACAGTAAAGGCCTGGCTACACTATGCGTTTTCTGCGTGCGTTTTTTTGCGGGTTTGCGTTTTTTTTGCGTAATATCGTTATAACAAAGCCTTGGCAGGCTGTGTGTGCTGGATTATGCACAGCTTCTTCATAGTACTCGAGGCCGGGCCGGGTGTAGGAGGGGGAGGGGGCTCCAGCACCCTGCACCAGTGTCTTCAACCCTTTACAGGCTGTCGGACAGCGAAGACACTGTTAGAAGACACTGCGCTCTGTACCGGGACTGATATACCGCCAGCCTTTGTTTGGGGACAAAAACTGGAGCGAGCTGCCGAGTTATCTGTTTGATCTAAACCTTTTGCCGGCGGCCGGGGCTGCATTAACGTCCACCGTTCGTCCGACTGATGGTACGCAGATATGTGGAGGAGCTGCCAGTGTCGGTACTGTGTCCGCCAGCGTCCGTACCAGGGCGGCCCGCCGCCGGCAACACTCGCCGTCAGCGTCGTGACATGGCTTAGAGGAGAGGTCAGCGTCGCTGCCAACACCTGTGCACAGGTCACCTGTTGTCTGCAACTCTCAGGAAAGAAAGCGTCATGACCAGTGCTCGTCCAGACATCTCACCTCCTCCCTGACACTCCTGACTGTCCCTCCCCACCCAACACTCCTGGGTCCTGACTGTCCCACATCACCCAACACTCCTGACTGTCCCTCCCCACCCAACACTCCTGATTATCCCACCTCGTCCCGCGTTCCTGACTGCCTCGACCTCATCCAACACTCCTGATCTGACTGTCCCACGTTACCCGACATTCCTGATCTGCCCCACATCACCCAACACTACTGAGTCCTGTTTGTCCCACATCATCCGACACTCCTAGGACTGTCCCAGCCTCACTCGAAACTCCGGACTGTCTCACCCTGTCCAACGCTCCTGACCTGCCCCATTTCACCCAGTATTGTCGCCATCAGTGCCCTGACCGGTTTGGGACCGGCCTTGTTCGGACGCCACCTCCGCGGGCTGTCGCCTCGCTACATTCGTCACATTTTATGACGCCAGAGACAAAAAGCCCGGTATGTGTGCCCATTAGGGAGCCGAGTCATTAGTGAACCCAAGCGGGCCCGTGCCGGACGCGAGTCATACAAAGCCGTACATAGATAGTGAATACTTAGGGACCCTCCCACCTTCAAAAAAGTTTATGAATTGGCATGAAAGTGATGTCGCTCGGTTCAGAAAGAGCGAAAACGAATATCTACCAAATTTCACCGAAAAATATTCACCGGTTTTCAAGATATTAGACTTTTACTTTTGTTTACCTTTTTTGGGATCTCCGCTGTTTCTAGCGACTTTATTTTAGAAGTGCGGCGTTCGCGGCAGATGTTGCGCGCAAATAGCATATACCACCGCGTGCTACAAAACGTTTTAGTCAAACATTTAAAAATCGTTAGATATCTGCGCTGACGTCACACATTCAGAGGGGTATTCCTAAGCATTAGCCCCTCTGAATCAAAATGCTGCAATTTTGAAATTCAATATTTCCGATTTAAGGCATTTCTCGATGTTGTGAGTGCCGAAACCGGTAATTGTGAGCCAGGGACCCCATTTTGGCTATCTCAACTCAAATCTAATGTTAAGGTGGGAGGGTCCCTTTAAGCGGATATGTGAGCTATTGCGCCGTTTTAGATTGCTTTTAAGTTCACGCCTTTTTAGCATTATTGTAATCCGTGTAAGTTTACGACAGTTTTTAAAAATTATTTCCATCATTGCGTGCGTTTTAAAGCCGCCGGCTTTTAAAAATATGTCAAATGTCTTGTTTGTTCAAGACAACGCGGCTACTAAGTTTTCGAGTTCCCGATTGCAGGATGAGGAAATAATGAAAAAGAAAAGAAAGTGAAAAAGGTCACATCTAAAATCCAGGGTAAGATGAAGGCAAGCCATTGGTGAAGGCGATTGGTGAAGCAATGGCTATGCCCCGTATACGGTGCATGCATGTGCGTGCGCGCGTATGTGAGTGCGGATCACGCTAGGCTGTTTCCTTCGCTGACAGCTCTGACGGATCGGGTCGGTTATCGCCGGGACATTGGGCTGTTGGCGACTGTTTCCGTCCTTCTGTTATGGCTGATGGCTGGAGGAAAGGGAGGAACACCGCCGTCGCACGGACACACCATAGCCACTCTGGACGGGAATACTTGGTGCCTGGGACGATGCCGCCCGCCCGACACCAGCCTCAGGTCACATCACCTGACCTTCGACCGCGCTGACGGCTGGACCCGGACCGGCAAACACCTGTGATTGATCGAGCAACACCGGCAGAGGGCACAAATAGCGGCAGACGGCTGCCCAGAGAACTCAGCCGCAGCTGAAACGGCATGTGGCCCGGGGGTGACAAATGAGCCAGGAGTGGTCATATGTCTACTGACAGCAGGGTATTGTTTGCGGTGGCGTTAACTGACCAACTATAGACGATACACAATGGCTAACGAGACTGCGGTGTGATACTTGTGAAGTGCGTTACAGGTTGTATACGTGCTGAGGACGCTGATCCCATGGTGACACATAAACTAATAACATACCGCAGCGGTCGTGTGTTGTATTGTCAAGAAATCAAAACGCATTCCAATATAAAATGAAAACAA